TTTTTTTTTTTTTTTTTGGATTTTTTAGGTTGAAGATGGATTCTGGATATGTTTGGATTTTTGTTCCTTTTTTTTTTCAATTTGAAAAATTGTAATTTTAATTTTAAAATAAAAAATATAAGAGAAAAAATGAATAATTATTGCAATATGGCCATGTGTACGACACGCGCCTTCAACTTGGACATAGAAGGGGAATCGGGCTACCATTAGTTAAATGTAAAGGGTATTGATGCAATTTTTAAAATAATGAGAAACACATGCAAATTTCATAATACTGTCTTTTTATGGAACCATTCCGTTGGGTTGTAATCGTTAGATCATCACGTAAGTCGTGAGAATAGTGGATCTAAGGTTATAAAGAAAATAGGAAGAAAGAAAAACTATATTCCGTTTCCCATTTGTGTTTTCCATCTTGAGGAATTTCCACTCACTACAGCCCCTCAGCTACTGGCCGGAGAGTCACTTACTCACCAACATATGCTTAACCTTAATCACCAGATTTCAGTTTTCCGAGTTAAAGAAAAAAGTCTTTGCATTTTACAGACGGCGCACCAGAAGCCAAGATATCATCTGAAAACTCAAAACCACCTTCAAAAACCCTGGAATATATCCATGGCCAATAACGCATCCTCATCAATTTCGCCATCGAATTACACTGAGAGTGCCACTAAACAAACTGAGGCCCTGAAATCCTTGTTCGATCCTCACAGTATTGACCCACATTTGCTGCAGAAAATAGAGTATGATGCACTGGTTTGGAGTTCTCTTCATGGGCTGCTTGTTGGAGACAGAGCTTCGGAGGTTGGTATACAGATTGGATAACTGAATAATTTCAACTCTGCACCTCAAATTAGTCTTAATTTTCTGTATTCTGTTGTGGTATTCTTTCTGTATTAACATTTAGGTTAGAGTGTTTGCAATTATAATCATGAATTGGGGTGAAAAGGAGGGGGGGCTTGTTCCAATTTTATTTATTTATTGTGTTCTTCAATTTCACATTTTAATGGAATGAATTTGATGTATTTAGCTTGATTTGGTCATCTTTCAATTGAATCTAGGAGGTACATATTTAATTTACACAACCTAATGTATGAGCAAAGCAACCGGTTTTCGGTTTCTGATTCATTTGTCTTTTCCTTTTTATTTGTATTTGCAGAAATCAGGAAGGATACCTGGTGTCGGCCTAATTCATGCACCAATATCCTTGCTGCCTACACCATTTCCTGAAAGTCACTGGAAACAAGCTTGCGAAGTAGCTCCCATATTCAACGAATTGGTTGATCGTGTGAGCTTGGATTCAGAATTCCTGCAGGAATCCCTCTCGAGGTTAATAGGCCCCTAATTTTCTTTTTGTCTATACATATTTGTTTTCTGTGTATATTATATTCATCCTGCGGTCTTACGAGTTACTACGGATGTCAAGTAATATATATTTTCGTAATATCGTTTGCATAATGGCATTTACAATTTGCATCCATGGATCGGTTGAGTATCTGATCTAATATCTCTAATGGATTTGATATTTTTTATCAAGTTAACTGACTGACTGATACACTGTGTTCATGTTAATATTTTGTTGTTATGTTTGTACTCCCTCTTAGCCATTGTTAAAATCCACTTTGCCTTGAGGTGAGGTCATAGATGAGAGTTGAAATAACTAAAGTTTCATGTGCCTTTATTGTCCTAAAAAGTAGTGACTACTGCTTGTTGTCGTCATCTAATTTGAGAGACTAGTTTTTGCATAAATATTTCATTTAGTTTAACTGTCTTCCTTGTAGGCCTATCAGAAACAAGTATGAAATTTCTGTGGTGCATTAATTTTTGTTCCCTATCGTTTCCTGTGCAGAACCAAAAAGGTTGATGCTTTTACAGCTAGACTCCTAGATATTCATGCCAAGATTCTAGATATGGGCAAGAAAGAGGTATTTCTTTCACGTTTATTCTCTTAGTTTCAAAGCATATTTGTTTAGTCTGTACATTTAGGATGTAAACTATTATTTTATTTTATTCCTTTTGATTATGTATCTGTATCTTTACTCGCAAAGTTGCCATAACCCAATGTTGAGCCAGAATCGTGTTCTTCAGCTTTACTCTTATATTAATGCAAGGCTTGTACTTATAGTTATAGGATCCTAAATTGACTTGGAAGTTTCATGAGTCAACTTTATTTAGTTTGCTGATCGGTTTTTCATTTCATTATAAGAGCTTTGATAGAGTGAAGGGTGAATTGCAGACAGAAATTCAAAGCTGAAATTGATAATTTACTGAAAACGAATGAAATGGGAAGAAAACAAAACAATCGCAGGCAAGCCTGCCCCAAGTGCGAACTCTGATTGGGATTTCTTCTGCCTTAGCCAAAGGCTCCTCTGTTCTTTTTCTCAAAGCCCTCTAAACTGTACAACTTAAATTAGAAAATAGGGTTCTGAAGCCAAAAACTAGTCCATCACCTTATTCTAGTCCTAAATATATAAATAGAGTGGTAATTTAGATATAGATACGTAGCAAGACTCTTGCGAATTGCTGAAAAACTGTTGTCGTGAATGGAGCGTTGGGTGGTCGATTAAGGCTGGTCGACAAGAACGAAGAGTAGGCGGAATATGCCGGTTCCTTTTCCGTTGGAAGGTTTGTGAAATTCAATTCGCGTTTGACTTGGTGAGCCAATTGGATGGATCATCGTGTCTGCGATGCGGATATCCAAGCATAAACCTGATATCTGCGCATAAACCGCCCAAAAGCTGGCATAAATAATGAGTGTGGCACAGATTTTGTTGACAAGAATGACGAGAGAAAAGGTGAGATGCGGAAATTGTGTATTTTGCTGTCCAATCACAACTCTATCAAAAATATATTTTCTTCAGTGGGACAGAAATCTATCTATTTTGGTATCCAATGGTGCCGTCATCTTTCCAAGAAATTTCTATATATTGTGAAGATGACTTCTCAAAAATATTCACCGTTTCTATGACAACAATTAGATTTTGGTGTTATGTCAAATATTGAAGGATTAATTAGTATAGATTACATGGATGAGTATATAAACTAGATAGTGTTGTCAAATATGGCATCGCGTAAAATAGCCTGGTATCAAGTTCTGTGGCGGCTATGACGGAAAAGGGTGGAAAAACCAAATTGGCCTCCCATAGTCTCTAACAAGCTCAGTTCAATGAATAATAATGGTAATAAATCAAAAAAGACAAAAAGAGGGTTGGAGGAGTTAGTTTCACATTCAAACTGGTGGCCCTTTCTCAGGGGACCCTACTGCACTGGCTACCCAACCTCCGGCAAGTTATCTTTGTTTTCTGCTTCATTCTAGTTTCTTTTTGACTTAGATGGATCGATTATTGTTTGCAAGATACCAACTTAGAGAGATGCAATTCCCCCTCAGACCGAAAATAAACCGTTGGAAATCCATCACCTCCTCGGATCGATCCTCCGAAACCTGCGAAACACACCGGGAGGGTTCGCGGAGCGAAAAACTCCCGAAGCTTAAGTCAGTGACCGGCTTATGAACTATTTCTGAGAGAATATATTGCACGTAATAATCTATCAAACCTGAAACCAACCCTTTTATAATGGGATTGTTCTCTTCCTCTGGTAATTTTTAGATGAATCCTTCAACTCACCGTGAATAAAATGTTTAGGACATTATTTTCTTTTATTGAGATGGACACCTATTCTAGATTCCAAACCGCCTTCCTCGAGAGATCGACCCGAGGTTGGGATTCATTCCGTACCCGGTGACAATAATAATTTGCTACAACAAATTATTTAAAAGCAAGCAGCAAAAATTACAAGGCATGAAGTAATACATACTATGCTAGCACATTATCTGGAATTTTGTTTTGTTTTGAGCCTTTTTTTTTTTGTTTTTTTTTTTTTT